CTTGAAAGACGGGTGCGTTGAGCGTGGAAGCTGACGACGATGAAGAGGGAGAAGACGTCCCGTGCGCTCCTGTTGGAACCTGCGGGATCTCCACTCCAAGTCAAAGGGGCAACAATGAGCATAATAGTCACGAATAAAGAAAATATAATAGTCCGAATGGCATTGTGTCTGAATATCAAGTCCATGCGTGGAAAGGTTAGGATACTGACACTGGGATGGATTGCGAGAGCGAAAAGACGTTGTTCGGATCATAGAGTGCTTTGATTCCAAACAGCTTCGGCATATTGTCCCCAAAGTGCTGTGACTGCCGCTCCTGGGGAGTGAGCGTTGGATCAATGTGGTTGGGGTCTACCAGGGACGTAAGTCTGGGAAGGCCATAAACAAAGAATGGACACATACAGGCACAACTTGGGTTTGGATCAAGAGAATAGACCATATTGCTGACGACATCGATTCCATCGCTGGGATAGGCCGTGTTGTTGGTCGAGGAACCTGAGCACTGGAACATCAGGAATGCGTCTCGGTATTTGAAACTCGATGTGGACGTATTGAAATCAGCCAGACTCGAATATTCCTTGGTGTACCACGATTATAAGGACCAAACAGAGTCCAATCAAGATTTAGAGAGAAAGTGGTAATAATGAAAGATAAAATGAATGAATAATCATTGATATAGGAGCGGTGAGTACTGGGTCCGGTGATGAAGTGGGAAGAAACAAGTAGGTAGTAAATGTGCTGTCCAAGTGAGTATAGAACTAAGAGACAAGTCAGGATACTCGACTAGGATAACGAGAAAGAAATTGGTGGGGCAATCAAGGCCTTTGACTTTGGAACCTTCCTGATCGAAGTGCTATGACCTCCCTCGCCCAGCCGCAAAGCCACAACGATACAGTTAGGTCTAGGGCGAGTCATACAAACATAATGAAAGAGCATAGTTACAGTTCGTTCTGGACCTTGTTCCGGAGCCAATAGTATGGAAATTTTGTATAGGATAGGCCCCAAGATATCGAAAGCGAGTCTCCTTCTTTGAAGTACCCTAACCGTCATGATACATCCAATAAAAGATGATTCTACGAATCATACGATCTCAACTTGAAAACCTATGCCCAATGGGCCTGTGTCGGAATAGTCCTGGAAAGATGGTCAAAATTCCAATAGAATAGTTTGGGAAGATCGATCATACGATGACTGAAAACCACTCTCCACGTCTCGACTGTGGAGTCTTGTGCAGCCTTGGAGACCGCATCGACCAATGCGTTTCGGAGAGCATCGTCAGATTTAGTTTCCTTGTATGCTTTGCTGGTAGTGTCCAAATTCGTTAAAACAATACCGAGTTTAGACGCAAGACCTGTGTGATTCTCAAAGTACACTCGAATTCCAGAGATCATATAATGAAAAGCTTTTGCTTCGAGTGAAACTTGAAAGATTCGATCATCGACCAACGGTTTGATGACTGCCAAGTCTTTCTCTTGCATATTGTAGGGTGAATTGAGGTGAAAGATTTCTAGAAAGATGGTTGAAAGTCCAATAGAATAGATTGAAAAGATTGAGCATACGATGACTGAAAACCACTCTCCATGTTTCTACTCTAGAATCATTTACAGCTTTGGACACCGCGTCGAACAATGCGTTTCTTAGGGCATCGTCAGATTTAGTTTCCTTGTATGCTTTGCTGGTAGGGTCCAAATTCGCTAAAACAATGCCGAGTTTAGACGCGAGACCTGTGTGATTCTCGAAGTGCTCTCGAATTCCAGAGATCATATAATGAAAAGCTTTTGTTTCGAGTGAAAATTGAAAGTTCCGATCCTCAACCAATGGCTTAATGTCTGCCAAGTCTTCATCTTGCAGCTTTTCAGGTGAACCCGCTTTTGATGAGCTCATAGCCTGTTTACGTTTGGTCGGCTTCAA